TTCTGAAGGGAAGGAGAACTAGGTATGCATGACCCCTTGTCATGTCTGCGAGACCCAGCGAGCTGGCAAAGGTCGCCTTTCACATCCACTCCTTTCCCTGGACTAATGGGCATCTATCAGAGGCTCATGGGGTGATGTTGAGGAGGGAAGACCACATCGTTCTGCAGCCCAGTTTAGTCTGCGGGGACCTTGTGGAAAAAGAGTTGACAGGGAAGACTAGTTCACCCTGGGCTTTCCCCTGGGGCTCCCAGACTAGTCAGGTTAGAAAAGGGTACCGGGTGGCAAGGGCCATCCTGATTGCAGCAGGACGTCTGAGACCGAGCGACGAGTCGCCCAGGGCCATCGTGCTTCGTGAGAAGAGGCTCTGGAACAGCCCCCCGCCTCCATTCCTCCCTTATGACCAGACATGATTCAGATCCCCTCAGCCCTGTGACTTTCCAGAAAGCAGCTCTCCCCGCAGCAGAGAGAGGGGGGGAAACTTTCCCTTATTATTCTTCTAATAATGAGTTCCTGCTCTGAGTGGGCGCTTCCATGTGTTTTCAGTCAGTGCTGATGGCAGCCTGGCCGGGGGGACATTTCCAAGAGGCTGTGGACATAATAGATGAGGGCTCGCATTGACAGAGCTGCTCTCAGCTTTCCTGCCAGCGCAGCCCTCCCGAGGCCTGAAACCGGAGACGAGGAATGATTCACAGGATCGTGTTGTGAACAAACATGGCGGCCCCACCTCGTTGTTCCTGTTAACTAAGTAAGGGGATGGTTTCAAAGCTTCCCTCTGAGAGATGTGCAGACCTGGATTTTAGTAACTTAAAAGGACATAACTTTCTCAGGCCAGACAGTTCTTTGCAGATGCCAAGACCTCCTGTGTGCAGAGCTCACACAGAGTCTTAGCCGACCTTGACCTCACAAGAACAAAGGGAGAAATGAGGCCACGCCATTTCCTGCCTAAAACCTAACTGCAAGCACAGGAGATGCTTCCAAGTGAGCAATGGTGGTAGGCCCTGTGTGCTGTGGGGTCCCACCTATTCGTTCCCCCCCAAAGCAAATGTCTTCAGATAATACCTAGTTGCAAATGACCTACAGGGGACTTGTACAAACGATTAGTTATGAACGGGCTCTTTTCCTGGAGAAGAATGTCAGTCACTCGGGTGAAAGGGGACAGCTGCTGTAGGACATAGGTGGCCTGGAATTGGAAAGCCTTTGAAAGCAGAGGCCGCCCTGGGGACTCACTACCTTGGAGTCTCTCTGCATTTCTCTCTGCATTTCTACCCACGGCCACCCTCTTGCCCAGCAGACGTGCTCTTCAGACTGTCCTGCTCACTGGAAACTTTAGCTTGCGTGTGGCTCACCCTCATCTCTTGAACTCCTCTCTCTACACTGCAGCCTTTCAACTTAAGTTCCCATTGGCTTTTCCCCTTGGTGTCTCCTAGTTAAAATTCCTAAGAGGGAACCTCATTGGCTTGGGCTGACCTTATTGTTTTGTCTCAGGTAGCATCACTGGTCTCTAGCCAGCCAGTCTGTTGTGGGCCGAGGGGGCGGCTGAAAGCAGGCAGATTAGGCAGCCGCAGATGTGGGCAGGGCAGCTACCCTAGAGGGGCTGGTTTCATGTGTTTAGGGGACTGGCCGTGTGTGTGGTGTTTCCCTGTTTCAACGGAGTCAGAGGAGCTTAGTCTGAATTCATGCATCAATGGGAAGATGAGGGGAGAAACTGAATTATGACACTGGACTTCGCCTTGTATTCATTAGAGACCATTGCATTCCTACCTCAGCAGATGTTTAAAGGTCACCCCAACACAGTCTAGATTTCAGCATTTCCACATTCGTTAGAGTAGACATGGGGCTAGAAGAGAATTAGAGGCAAATCTAAACAGCCCTGTGCTTCTCTGCTCTTTCCTGAGCTCCATGTCCATATCGATTCAATCATTGGCCAGCCCTTGTCCTGTGTCAGACCCTTGTACCTACTGCCTAAAGCCACAGGTTCTCTAGGAGCCTATGATGACACAGAA